AGGCATGGTGGCAGGCGACTATAATCCCAGCTACTCAGGAGGCTGAGACAGGAGAATGGCTTGATCCCGGGAGGCGGAGGTTGCAGTGCACTGAGATCATAGCACTACACTCTAGCCTGGGCAACAGCGCAAGACACCACCTCAAAAAAAAAAAAAAATTAAAACAAGCCACCCACCCAACTATCGATGTCCTGCAGAAGTGACTCACCCTGCTTTTGTAAGAAGCAAGACTGGGCCTGTCCATAGGCCCCTGAGCCTGGGCTGCCTGCACAGTGGCCAGGAAAGCCAAGCTGCTTCCTCAGTGGCCCGTCTCCTGAAGGAGCCCAGGAGTTCGAGACCAACCTAGGCAGCATGGAGAAATGCCATCTCTACAAACAAATACAAAAATTATTTGGATGTGGTGGCACACACCTGTAGTCTCAGTTACTCAGGAGGCTGAGGCTGGCAAATCAGTGAGCCCGGGCAGTCAAGGCTGCAGTGAGTGGTGATTGTACCACTACACTGCAGCCTGGGCAACACGGCAAGACCCTATCTCAAAAAAATACAGCGTTTCCTCTACTGATATAAAACTTAAACAAAATACTGCAGGTTGATATTATAAACTAGGTGTGCCTTATAATGACAGAAATATATTGTTTATAATTCTGGAGGTTTGGACATCGAGGATCAAGGTGCCAGCAGATTTGGTGTCTGGCAAGACTTGTTCTCTGGTTAACAGATGGCAACCTTTTGCTGGGGGCAGTGACTCACACCAGTAATCCCAGCACTTTTGGGAGGCCAAGGTTGGGGGATGACCTGAGGTCAGGAGTTCAAGACCAGGCCTGGTCCCAATAATGGTGAAACCCATCTCCATACTAAAATACAAAATATTAGAATAGGCATGGTGGCAGGCCGACTATAATTCCATGCTACTCAGCGAGCGCTGAGGACAGGGAAGATGGCTTGATCCCCGGGGGAGGGCAGGTTGCAGGGCTGGCACTGAGCATCATAGCACTACAACTCCTAGGCCTGGGGCACAGCGCCAGACCAGCCACCTCAAAAAAAAAAAAATAACAACAAATTGAAAAAACAACGCCATCCACAACTATCGATGTTCCTGGCAGAACTGGACTTCACGCACCTGCTTTTGTAAGAAGCCAAGGGACTGGGCCTGTCCATGCAGCGCCTGGAGCCTGTGGGCTGCGCCCTGCCAGGTGGGCCAGCAAAGCCATAGCTTGGCTTCCTCAGGGGCCCGTCTCCTGAAGTTTGCTCTCTTCTTCATGTGGTTTACAGACACTGTAAGGCCATACTCGCAGGATAATTAGCACACTTGCCAAGAGATTCCTGTCCCCTGGCTCTCAGGGGGCCTCTCTATCCAGGGAGATGTCCTCTCACCTTTCAGAGTTCCCCTGCCAACCTTTCAACCCCCTGAACATCCCCGAACTCACCATGTGTGTCCACATGATTATTTTCCTACTTAGCCTCATGTTTGTCCCTAAACCTTTCTCCTGCCCGCCCTGCAAAAACCTCATATTTTATCTCAGTGTGCAAAGGTGGGCCAACTGTGTTCAAAGCAAGCCTCTTGGTTTCACACAAAGTTATTTTCTCTCTGTCACATTACAAGAGGCTGTATTCCGGCCGGCGTGCCGGTGGCTCAAGCCGTAATCCTAGCCACTTTGGAGGCCGAGGCGGGTGGTATCACGAGGTAGGACGGATGGACCACATCCTTGGGCTAACATGGTGTGAAACCCCGTTCTCTAACTAAAAATACAAAAAACTAGCCGGCGTGGTGGCGGTGCCTGTAGTTCCAGCTACTTGGAGGCTGAGGCGGGAGAATGGCGTGAACCCAGGAGGCAGAGCTTGCAGTGAGCCGAGATCATGCCACGCCCCCCCCCCCCGGGGGAAAGAAGGAGACTCCGTCTCAAAAAAAAAAAAAAAAAAAAAAAGAGGCTGTATTCCTGTCCCATAGACCCTAACGATCCCCTTATGCCCCTACCTCTGACCAACTTGCCTCTCAGGGCACCGGTTTTCCAGGGGGAAAGTCTCCCTTCTTTCCACCTACGGCCCTTAAGCCCAACTACAGAGCCTTTTGAAGTTTGGGGTGAAAGACCAGAACACCCACATTGCCCATTTTGGCCACCAGGTGGTAGACAAGGATAATATTAAGCCTGGGCTGACTTGAGAGAGGGAGGAGACTTTCCTCTCAATGAACACTGTTTGGTGCATAATGTTCCCACTACATTCTGAAAGCGTTTATTGAGCACCAGCTGCCTGCATGTCTCTGCATGTTTTTCAGTTCTGCAGATGTACAATATACTTTCCCAAAGTCGGTTCCCAGGATTACTGTTTAGACTTAATAGTTACTTTTTAACAGCTTTATAGTTAAACAATTTACAATTAAATTTACCTTCCCCCCGCCCTTTTTTTTTTTTTTTTTTTTAAGACAAGATCTCATTCTGTCACCTTGGCTGGAATGCAGTGGCACAATCACAGCTCACTGCAGCATCCACCTCCTGG